GTTCCACGCTGGTTCTTGACTCAGTTATCAAGTCCTTGCATCAGGAATTAGATCATGCTGCATACTTGTTGCCGCAGCTGCTGCTTCTCTCTAGGACTGTAATAAACATGCAGACACACAGCCAGGTAATGAAGGCACGACTTTAGCAGATCAGAAAAAAATGTTAAGAACTGTGCTTTATCAGAATTTACCCTATGCTTCACAGCCTGCAAAAGAAAGCTTTGAAAGTGGTACTTTTTAGCAAATGAAGGAGCATATAATTATCATCCTATAAATTCAACCAACTGAATATATTTGCCTTACCAAGAAAGTTCATTACAACTTTCAAATCCATACTGATGATATTCAGCTTCGTTTCAACCGGCTTATAAAAAGTCGTATCTTGGTTTTAATTCTAACTGCTGCCACAAAAATAATGGCAATTCAATTCACTGAACAGACTAATGTTAAAATTAGGTAATGAGGACTGCAAAATCAGTTTAAGGTTAGAAAAATTCCAAGCTGCTTTCTTTTCAGACTCAAAAGAAAAGCCACTCTTAAAAAAAACAAGCATACACTACACATCAAAAAATGATCCTCCTTCAGCAAAATACAAATAATTTATTTACTAACAGTTTTCTAGTACAGAGAATAGACAATCAGAGTCTGGCTCTATTTAAGTTGCAAGTAGTAACTTAAGTAACTTAGGGGTGTAATACAGTGGCTCACTCACCCCTCTACCTCCTCCTGTGGAGGAGGAGAATTGGAGGAAAAGACAGGAAGGCTTGCAGATTGAGATAAGAAAAATTTAATAATTGAATATAAATGAATATTATAGTGATACTAATAATATTAACAATATTAATAATATGTAAGGAAATAATGGAAAATAAAACAAATTATACAATTGCTCACCACCCACCAACTGATACGCAGCCAGGTCCCGAGTAGCAAGAGCCAGAGACCAAGAGCGATCACACCAGAGTCTGAGCAAGCCCCATGAGCAAGAGAGAGACCGAGAAAGCCAACTGACCCCCCAACAGACTATTTAATTAATGAATACACTAACAAATGACTGACTGAACTATGCCCCCCAGCCCACCCCTGGCTTATGTACTGAGCATGATGTTCAGTGGAATGAAATACTCCTTTGGTTACTTTGAGTGAGCTGTCTGAACTGTGTTCCCCACACACTGCTTGCAGTAAGAAAGTTTGGAACACAGCTGCAGTATCAGAAGATGGAAAAGTCCTTGAATTGGTGCAAACATTCTTTAGCAACAATAAAAACCACCAGTACTCTTCTTGGGGCAAATCCAAAACACAGCCTTATACCAGCTACTGGGAAGAAAATTAACTCTCTCCTGACTAAAACCAGCACACATGATTTTACCAGATGACCCAGCAGTACAATTTAAGAAGAAAGAGCTTAACAGTTTCTCCAAGGAAGTGGAAAGGTGGACAACAGGTCAAGAGAATGTTTAATCCTACAGTGCTAATTGGCCCATAGGTTTATTTATAATATTAGCATCTTCCCAGTGTTACATAAACTATGACCAAAATGGATTAAATCAGGAGACAGAATCCTGGTATGCAGAAAAGTAATGGAAATCCTGAGAGAATTACAGCATGGAATGTTGTATAAGCCTTGAAGCTTGAAGAGTAAAAGCATCTGTTGCACAAAGTTTTTGCTACCTTCTGTAAGACAATATCATGAGTCACAGTTGGCCCAAATCCTCTTAAATGCCTGCTAATAAAGACACTGCCGAGGTAATTCAGGGAAAAAGCTCACCTCTAACTATTTCTAAGGACCACTTTTTATTACCTGCTATTCACAGAATGGAAGGCAGCCAATAAAATTCTCAATAGAACTGTACATCCTCACACAGATTGCAAGTCATCTTATTTTCTACCTTAGAATAGCACAATGCATCATCAAATCAGTTTCTCCTGCGCTTCAACTGCAATTTATTATATCAATCTTCGTATGTGTTTTAAAATTAACATAAAAATCCCTATTCAGATTCCTTTAAATTAAAGGTTAGCAGACACAGCATTGTATCACAACAATGGAGTTATTCACGTATCTATTTCCTACAGGTACGTTTGGAACAAATGCAGCTTGGAGGCAGAATATTCAGAAGTTATATACAGCTAGGTGGAACATCAGAGATGTATCTTCCCTCTTTCAGCACTTCACAAAAAAAAAAAAAAAAGCCAGACTGTCTTTAACACATTAAACTTAGCAGGGATGTGCCCAATAAAGAAGCCTGATTTATTAAACATAAGTGGCACCATTGCCACACGACAGCCTCTGATTTACATTGCTTTTAATTCACAGCTAGCAACGAAATTTATCTGTTCCCTTTTGGCTCAGAACATAAAAGCTACAGATTTTAGATGGCATGGAATGGAAAACACCACTGTGCTGCTGTCTAACCTCCCATGAGAAGGCAAAAGAAAACAATGGGTATTACTGCAGCTGAAATATAATGTCCCAGTGATTAAGAGAGATTCTGAAGAGCAGATGGCTAAAGGCAAAAGAAGTAAGATGATTGTGAGATTGAGGAGCTTGCTGACCTACTACAGGTCTCAAAAAGGACTCAAAGGTAAACGTTCTACAGAAAGGCCAAACAATTTCTTAAGCTTCAGGGTATATTGAGGAATTATTTACACTTCTGAGGTGAAGAAGAAATACTGTCAGGTTGCAGTATCAATAGAGGACATGCTGGAACAAGCTGATCATTAGAACAGCAAGTCAGCAACACCAGATGGTTACGTTCTGAGAGGATTTTAATACAGTGGTAAGTTTTAATGACTGCATCTTAGCAGTTCAGACACCTGATTCTTGACAGCCAGGGGGCAGAAAACATTGCCAGAAGCACTAGAGGTGACCTGGGGAATCACATGCACACCACCTTTACTTTAGGCTTAGAATTTCATACAAATGATGTCAGAACTAAATATACACAGGAATGTAGCTTCCCTGTAGCTAAACAGCAATGGTACTTGGTTGCTGAAAGCACCAGAATGTGCTATAATCTCTGAGATTGACTTACTGTATTAACAAGTAATACTTGTGACCGAGCTGGAAGATGAACACATTGTTAATGCAAATATAAGCTCTAGTTCCTACCCTAACAACACCCAAAGACAAAGGACATTGTGCTGTAAAAGAAAAATTGTTTTAATTTCATTTAATCCTGATACATGTACATACACAAGCACATACGCATATACATATTACTTTTTATGGCCTTTATGAAGGAAAAAGGATATTACATGGAAAGGTTGTATATCATTTCAGCAAAATGGTAATCAAGTATTTCTGCCTTTAGATTACATTCTGCAATAAAAAAAACCCACTGCCAGTTAATATTTTACACAAATAGTAATTCTATTGAAAGTTATTTTACAGAATTCTGTACCGAAAAAAATATTTGGTGAATGAAATCTACCTACGTTTAGAGCCTCTTTCCGGCACATAAGTATGTTGCATCTTGTCCAGCACTGTGCGCCGGTGCCCTACATCCAGGTAAACACAGCCTTTTTCCATAAAAGATTAATTTCAGAAAAAGTTTGACTAACCATACATGACTCTCAGCTAGGATATTTTTGCCATTAATTAAAAAGCAACATTACATGATACTACAATATAGTCCAGAAGAATCTGTGAATAGTAAAAGCAGATGCTATCCTAGTGTGCAGTATCTTTTCAATTGGAAACTTCATTCCAAAAGTTGCGGTCCAAAAACCAGCAAGATCCTTCTATTCTGCTATATAGTGCTATACTTCTACCTGCAAAAGGAACTGTAAATATTACAGTGAAGCTACACTAACTGTGCTGAGCGTGTATCACTAGGCTTGTAAATCAACAATGCTTTGACTAGAGAGTATTTTTCCTGACTAACCACTGCAACTAACTTTACAGAACCCGCTCTGATATACTCACTATATATCTTCACTGTAGACAATGGCTTTATTTTCCCCACCCTGTAGTCATTATCTGTTATTCAGCAAGATTCAAACACAGTTCAGCACTGGGAGAAAACTGTGTAAACACTATTATATCCCCGCAAACAGCCAAGGTGAAGCAGGAAAACAGCAGAGGCAAGCGCAATGATGACAACATGTTTGTGTAACTGCAGGCAGTTCAAAAATTCAGGCCCTCACCATAATCCACCCCAAATAGTATTTCAGTGCCTAACAAGCAATCTGTAACTATATTGAGATATCCTGGGGTAATGAACTTAACCTGTGAAAGTGATAACAGTCACCTCTTGTGCTTTAGGTTTGTTTCCACTTGTCTTGGTTCTATTTTATAAATTAGTAACAAACTTTTGAACAAACATGATCTTCCCCCTAGTTTTCTTACTTTTTCTTCTGGCTTGATGTACTATACCCTGACTGCATTTCTACAGAGCTCATTCTTACTATAGGTGGTTATTACCCAAAACTAAAACAACCATTTTCCTCCTAGGATCAATATAAGATTTCAGCCTGGCTTTGGAATACTTCCCTTTATCTTGTTATAGATTTTTGTCTCCAGGTGAGCTTATTGCACCTTTTTCTACTCAAAAGAAACTTGGTGGCATGTTGCTGTTCGAAACCAATATCAAATTTCAAAGTAACAGGTAACAACTTCAGGAACTGAGAGAAACAATCTTTAGGTCAACAGCGTGAACCGCCAAAATGATACTGAGCATAAGAGAAAACTGCAGAACATTTTAACACAAAGATGGCAAATTGCATGTACAAACATGGGTAGAGGAAAGAGGGAAAACTACACAAATCATTTTTCCATAGGACTTCTGACAGGATAACTGTGCCATCTATCTGCACTTCCGTACAGGGACGAGAAGTTACAGCTCTTACTGATGAGCTGCTATTCACGTGCAGATTTATCACTTTTGCCATTTATATGTTACTAACACATCCATGCCTCTAAACAAGAATACTTGTGAATTTCTGAGCTTTGTAAGAATGTATTGTACACAAGTACTTACTATCCAGAGAAATTTTACCTGGTCCCAAGGATTGGCTCCCCAGAGGCTCCCAAAGCAGAATAGTCCATGCCATAGAAATTCAGCCCCAGAAGTATTTTGTTCCTCCATTTTGAATCGGGATCCAGTACTTGAACACAGGTTCGTACCCAGGGAAGAGGGGAATTTGGACCAGGTCTGTCAAGTTAGCAATAATCAAACAGGAAAAAGTACACATTCATTCTCAGCCTTCTCTTTCACACTAGTGCAATTGTAAAGAACAAACTATGGCACACAAAAATCAGTGAAGGTCAACCTACAACCCTGTGAAGGCTAAATGCATGTTCCTCAGTGGCTTGAAGATGCACAAAACATGCTTGCCCCACTCTTGACTGTGAGTCATTCCTACAGTGAAGGGACACAAACCTGCTCACAGTGGGTAAGAAAAGGTCTCCACCTAGCACATGTTCTCTGTCACTGGGCCTGACACAATGCCCACACAACAATTCAAAACCCTCTCTGACTTCAGTTGTTTTCCAGTATCAGCCTCAATGTTTTGACTGTAAACTGGCACAACATACTGGGACAAAATCTACCATTTACTTACAGAAAGAACTATAAAATCAGTGACTGGTAAGCAAGACAGGTTTCAATGATTGTTTAACACTTATTTATGGATAAAACCCTAAATAGGCAATTACCTAACAAAAAGCTACATTAAGAGAAAGAGTAGAGCCTTAATACACAGAGTAATTGAATTATCATACATACAGAATCAGGATATCATGTTCATTCCACTCCTCTCATTCAAGAGGAGAGTAGGCTTTATCACCAACACTCAGTATCATTGTAAAAGGAGAATTATACTCTAATCTTACAACTATCAACATCTTCTGCTCCCTATTAATTATCTGTCTCAAAACCCTTTGGAATATCTGTGCCATTAAAACTCAATGTGCTAATACAGTACAGAAATATTCTTGGAAATTGTGTTCATATCTAAAGACAAAAAAATTGTGAGACAACATACGTATTATCCTGTATTTCATATACTCACACCAATCAAAGCAAATTCAAGCAAACAAAATTAGAATTCTTCTTGTCAAATCCTTTCTCAGTCTAAAAGCATTACATCTCAGAAGCTACATTTATTTCAGATACAACAGGTATGAACTGAAGACTGCTTCCCTCCTCCTCTCAAGTGAAAAAGGATTAGCAGCTTCAAGTCACGTCTAAGTAACTTATAGCGCCAGTGAAAGCATAAAGATGTGACTGTACCATAACAGAACCTGTAATTTTAAGATGGCATAAAACATGGTGCAGCTTCAAACCACAGGAAAGATGCAGCACAGTATTTCAAAATGCATTCAGGGATCCAGATGGGCTTATATAGCCTGTATAAAAGCCCTTGGCACCTCATCTTCATAGATGTCGGATTTACCTAAAGGAAAGCTAAACCGGATACATTTATGCTGTGTATTCCAGCAGTAGAGTAAAAAAAACTACTCAAACTTCAGTACACGTTACTGCCTATGTTTGTTCTCCCCTAGGTCACTAGGCCTGAAGATGTAGAGACAAGCCTGGGAAGACATAGGAAGGAGGTATATAAATTCTTTTCAGAAGAGACAGAAGTTCCTTTCTCTTAAACCTGTCTAGACATTATCAAAATGCTAATATACTAGAGGTGACAAAGGTTTTAGTGATGTAATAAACACAAAAATGATAGCATTTCTAAATCTGGTAGTTTACCACGAATATTAGCCCTGGACAGTCACCTTGAAGCAAGATATACAGAATCTCACAGGAACTCCAAAAGCATATACCTACCTGCAATTTGGAGGTAAAATGAACCATGCTTTTGGAGAACAGTAACATACAGAGTCTCTGTAGAGTTTAAGGAGCTCTTAACTACATTGTTGTCCCACTTTCACACAATTAAAAATATTAAGTTCCTGAAAATGAATGTTCATGTACAAGAGTGGAGTTTTGGTTTATTTTTCAGTCAGATCAGCTCTCTGATGTGGTATGATGAACTGCTGCACAAAAAGCTGTATCAGTTCAAGGGAGGGACCAGAGGAAGAATGGAAAAACATATTCAAGCAGGTCCACAGTAGCAGTGCTGCCAAAGGGCAGTCTGCTGCCTCAGGAAGAAGCTAGTTGTCAATTGAGCTTTAAAGCTAATTTTTCAACAATTAAATGTACTAGATTATTCATATACCTATGTTGCAGAACTGTGCTAAATAACTGTAACCAAAAGAACCTGGCCTGGGAAAGAATGTCACGGAAGTAGTAAAAGGACAATTTTTTAGTTTGAGTAGAAAGCCTTTCACAATATCTGGGTGCAAAATATATAATGCTGATAAACAATGACCTGAATTATTGGCTTGTTAAAAAATCACCTATCCTAATTACTAATCCAAATCTTTAGTATCTGATACAGTTAAAACACACTATCCATTTTACAGAGAAAATGAACTCATACTGTAGATTTAGTAGCGACTGAAGTGGGAATCAGTTCCTTCAACAATATTTTTCTAATGCTTAGATGGAGTCTTACCGCTGTGGTGTTGAATAGTCGTATGTCATGAGACTGAAGCTGTCTATTGCTGAGGCCAACTGATCAAAATCTTTCTTTGTGAACAGTCCCGGCTGGTTCGTCCTTTTAAAACAAAGCAAGACAAAAAAACAGGAAGATATGAAATACTACAATAACCTGGCTTATTCTCTCCTTTGGGTTTCAAACCATTGGATCAGGTAAGAAAAATTTTTTCTTCTGAGGTGGCAAAAAATTCAAAAGATATTTCAGCACCATTCTTATAATTAATGTCTAAGAAAAAAAAAAAATTCAATGCTACTTATATTGCCAGTGGGAAGAACAGGACTTCCACAGCATACTTACCAAATAAGCATTTCCAGCATGGCTACAATAGTGATATAAGGGCTGTGGGCTAATCAAATTGCCGCACGTGACAATCAACTGAACTCTAAAGTTTTAGAAAACCTTTAATTGCTTTGCCAGTCAAACTGGTTTTGACACTTAGAAAATTATCTGAGCCACACTTAAATAAATGGATGGGTGTTGATGTTGGTACAAAAACATAAATAAAAGGTAAAAGTCTTAAAAGCAGAAGGCCAATAAAATTGCTGGCCTTTAACAAAAGACTACGCAAACCTCTCTTCTTTAGATGAAGCCATGTCCATTTCTTTCTTCTTTTGGGGGAGGAGGAGAAATCTATTCTATGACCTTCCCTAGACAAAAGTCTAGCTATGCCTTCTGCATATCTTTGTATGAAATATGGAACACAATTCTTACTTCCCCTTTTTTTTGCTTATCCTTCATTTACAAAATCTAGCACTGGATTAATAGCTACCTTAGCTTCATAGGTGAGGGGTTGTTTCTGACAGTTTTGGACTCATAGAGACTACTGACTTCTTTCAACCATTCAACTCAGAAACAATTAATGCACACAAGTTGCCTGAAAACATTGAATCTGTTTCAAAGAGAATTCTCAACTTCAAACTAGCAGCACACAGAGAACAGCAGGGAACGTAAGGCAGCCCTAATCACATTGCAAAGATGGGAGTGAACTAAAAAGGAGAAGCTGCTGCCAAGAGAACCATGTCCTCAGCCAGAGGGCTCTGAAGCATCAGATGAGACAGACAGGTAGAGAAGTAGTATATTGTCCTAAATAGCCTGGGAGAGTAGGGTTCATAAGGGAACATCATAAAGAAAAGAAGAAAAACGAGAGGGAAAAAAAAAAAGGTTTAACAGCTACGAACTCTGGTGCAACTCTGCCATCCAAGAGGCAGATTTAGAGGCTTGTACAAGATTCCCCTGGAGAGTAGAGGAGAGAGACAGAAGAATCCAGACCTTCCCCAGTAATATCAGAAACTGCTACCTGATCTAGAAATTAGTAGACAACCACTGTCCAGACAGGGTACACATTAAAACCACTCACGTTCCACCTCAAATGTAAAAACCAAAAAGATGCTCAGTGACAGATGCAAGTAATAAACTGAAAAATCACTTCTTTTGACCCTTATCATTTTTGGATCAGTGTGCAAATTCTCCATCCAACAATATGTGCTGAGTGGATCACCAGAGCATAACAGCATTCATTTATCAGTTTACAAGGACACTTTCTGTTCCATCGCATTAGGAAAGAGGTTAACAGAGTACAGGTTACAAAGAAGGGCAGATTAAATCACTTAACATTCCTGTCATGTTATAAGGGAGCGAAGCATGAGTGATATTTGCAAGTCAGGTCAATGAACCTGACCAAACATACACTGGATTAAGTAGCTGTAATTTGTATGAAGCATAGTAGTGTGCTGGAATTCTCAAGTTTTCAGAGTCAGTGCTATACTTGTCATATTAAGGAGAAATCCCATCCCTTTCCTTCTGGGGTTTTAACAAATTAAAACAAATCTTCACTTCTGGAACCTATTGGTGGACCTCAGGTTTTTTGGATAGTTATCTGCTTGTCATTTACTGCAACTGCAAACTACAGTTGTTCTACAAGAATAAAGAAAATGAAAGACATCTTTGAAGCAATGTCATGGCAACTTGGATGTCTGTAGGCAAAGCAATTCCCCAATGCAAACTCTAGTAAAACCATTTTCAGTAAATTGATTGTGATTACTCATGAAGGGAAAAGCATAAAAAGTAATTACAATGTGTATTAGATATTAGGGTAAGTTGAATTGCTTTATAGATTAAGCTGGGTAGTACTTCAATGAAATTTGTATATGTAACTTGTCCCCTACATCCATTTTTCATATAAACTGTCAAGGAATATGAAACAAAACAAAACAAATGACCAACAGGTTAAAATGGATATTGTCATCACTTTCTCCAAAGCAACCTTGTAACCAAACTACTTCCACCACAAAGAAATGCCATCTGAAGAGCATAAATTTCTAACTTGGAATAAACCCAGCAGCAATGGACACACTTTGTCCAGTCATGGACAGTGTTAAAACACCACCACTCTTCACACAAAACAAGCCCCACTCACCAGCTCAATAAGCACCACCAGTCAATTCTGCTTTAGTCAAGCACTTCGGGAAACTCTCCGCTGGAGCAAAACCAAAAGTATTTGATCCATGCCTTGAGAATTGTTCTGAGTCAAGAAAATTGGCACTCAAAGATAAAAACTAAATATTTTTCAACAGTTGTTATGATTCTCATTTTAGGTTTTCCAATCATTCTGATATTTAATCATAAACTTAACTCCAAGGGCAGGTATGTTCTACTGACAACATCATTGAGAAAACCAGCTCAGAAAAAGTCAGAGGACTTGGCATAGAATGTGCAAATTCCATGAGAATAAGTTTCCAAGCCTAAGCCAAAAGCCTGTCATTCTTTGAAGCCTTAAATACTGTTTCCAAAATATTCAGTGAAGTGGCAGAAACTTCAGCGTCATTTATCAGCACTGTACAACATACATACTAGAGAGAGCTTTGTTATTGAATTGTCAGATGACTAAAACCGTGGTGATTTTATCTGCTCACTATCAACATCACGAATGAGTAGGAGCAGAAGTCAGGCATATGAACATGAATAATAAGAAAAGCAAATGATCTAATATATCTGAAAAGTCTCTTTGCATGGAATTACTCCTGACCTCTGAACTCCTTCATTTGCTTTGAGTTCACCACAAGACACAGTTCAAAAATTACATATCATTTGGAGTCTAATAAATGTTCTCGTTAAGAGTGATGTTGAACACTGAACACATCAGAGACCTGCTGTTTAAAGAAACCTGCTCCTACTGGCCTAAAAATATACGGAAATTGTGCAACATGCATTATAAATATGAAACAATTTGGATTAAAGAATTAAATTTAAGCAGAAAAGGGTATTCTTTTCGTGTTAGCTTATACAAAATCCTTTTTATTGCTGTTCTAAGAGCCAAACACTTCATATGATATTTGCATTTGTATTTTTCTAACTCAATAACTTAAGCAAATGTCATTCAGTTTCCTTAACATTCTGCTCAAATGCACAAGGGTCCTTACATGATTCTTGTATCATTGTTCAACACAGTTAACTCTGAAACTTATTAAATACTAACAAAAACCCCACTATTCAGGTTTGGAAACAGCTATCTAATCTCAGAAAAATTTACATCTATATGGACTGTAAAAGTTCCTCCATGAGGAGGAATTCACCACAGAGATGAAATTTATGGCACTTTAACTACAGTAAAAAAACCACCTCTGATACTCTATATAGAACAAATGATTACTTTCAGCCGAGGTCTGGATATAATGCCCATCACGATGTACTACCCCTGATGCCTGTGCTGGTTGACAGCAAGCTTTATATGAGCCCGCAGTGTGCCCTGGTAGCCACGAGGGCAAAGCGCATCCTGGGGTGCATCAAACTCAGCAAAACCAGCCAGTCAAGAGAGGTGATTGTCCTGCTGCATTCAGCGTTGGTGCAGCCTCACCTTGAGGACAGACTGCAGTTCTGGGCCCTACAATTTAAGAAGGATGTGAAGGTCCCTGATTGCATCCAGAGGAGGGCAATAACGGTGGCGAAAGGGCTGGAAGGAATGTCCTATGAGGAACAGCTGAGGACTTTGGGCCTGTCTAGTTTGCAGAAGAGGAGGCTGAGGAGTGACCTCATTGCTCTCTACAGCTTCCTGAGGAGGGGAAGTGGAGAGGGAGTTGCTGAGCTCTTCTCCCTGGTATCCAGTGATAGGACACATGGAAATGGATCAAGGCTGGGCCAGGAGAGGTTTAGACTGAACATTAGGAAGAATTTCTTTACCAAGAGGGTGTTCAAACACTGGAACAGGCTTCCTAGAGAGGTGGTCAATGCCCCAGGTCTGTCATCATTTAAGAGGCATTTATTTAGAAATGCTTCAACCTTTGGTCAACCCTGAATGGGCCAGGCAGATGGACTAAATGATCTCTGCAGGTCCCTTCCAATAGAAAATATTCGGTCTTTCCTGTCCCTTTGAAGGGAACCACTGATTTACTAAGAGTACAAGCACTCCACTTCTTAAGCATGGTGTTTAAGACACGGAAATGTTTCCAATAAGTGACACAGTCCCTGTACAAAGAACAGCTGTCCCTGAGACACACTTCCTTTAGACCAGCCCACTTCCTTGAGAGATGATGAAGTTTCCACCACATGCTTTCAGAAGATTGATTTTCTTGGGTAAAATACTGATTTT